TCGTCATCGTCATCATCGTCACCGTCGTCATCGTTGTCATCGTCAACGTCGTCATCATCGTCACCGTCGTCATCGTCACCGTCGTCAACGTCGTCATCATCGTCACCGTCGTCATCGTCATCATCGTCAACGTCGTCATCATCGTCACCGTCGTCATCGTAATCATCGTCACCGTCGTCATCGTCATCGTCGTCACCGTCGTCGTTGTCATCGTCACCGTCGTCATCGTCACCGTCGTCATCGTCAACGTCGTCATCGTCACCGTCGTCATCGTCATCATCGTCACCGTCGTCACCGTCATCATCGTCACCGTCGTCGTCATCGTCACCGTCGTCGTCATCGTCACCGTCGTCACCGTCGTCATCGTCACCGTCGTCATCGTCACCGTCGTCACCGTCGTCATCGTCACCATCGTCACCGTCGTCACCGTCGTCATCGTCACCGTCGTCATCGTCACCATCGTCACCGTCGTCATCGTCATCATCGTCACCGTCGTCATCGTCGTCGCTGTCGTCTCGCCGCCTTCGTCGCTGTCGCCGTCACTTGAGACATTGCGCTGTTGGACGGGAGTTGGCTGTCTTCGTTCAGCGCCGTCAGTGTCAGACGGCGAGCGTTATGTGCAGGCTGGCGACCTCAGCAGAGTGGCGTATAAGCGAGAGACGGAGGAGTGTGTAAGCGTGTAGGATGTGTTTTGTACAAAGTGTGCTCGGTGTTGATTAAAGAACTGCCTCCAAGGACTTAGTCACGACATTTGTGTGATCAGCGCGCTGCGCTACGAACCCGGCGACTCGGGTTAGATTCCCGCTCATGGTCACCACCAGTGACGATTATGTGAACCTCGTCCTGGGTCTCCCCTAGGTCGACTCAGCCTCAAATCAGTACCTGGTGGGGTGTATAACACATCAGCATTGGGGAGACAAAGGCGGCCAAAAGTGGATCTGCGCCGTACACCCCTCCGAGGCGGGTTCTCGCGAACGGCAAAGTCCGTTTAACATCCTTACGGGGATCTTTGTTTTGTGCCTCGCATAATGATTTGGTCATTTGAATATGTTCATTAATGTAACGATCACTCCGCCACTACGTCTCCTCCCCCACTCCTCTCCCCTTCACCACTCAACCATCCACCCACCCCTCAACTGGCCAGCGCTCCGCTAGATAATTAATGATCGGCAATGCAATACCTCTTCTCAGAGCCACGGAGAAGAGAAATCCGTGGAAGCCGAATTATCCCCGTGAATTAAAATGTTATTTATTTATACACTCAAATATAATACAGGCTACGACAAATTGTCATCATCCTTCGGCCCCGGTCAATCCACTGCTGGATGAGCGTCATCCAAACCGTTGCCACCGCATGTATGTTGAACTTCTGTCGCACCGTACGTAGCCAAACCGTGCTCATCGCGATGAACATTCACTTCATCGCCTGCACTCGAACTGCTTTCCGTGATTCGTCTCGACCACCACGCCATCGGTCCCTTTTGCCCAAGGCCTCGCTCGCTCCTCTCAAAGCCTCATCACAGCGGAGGGTGGGTGGGTGGTGGTGGTGGTGGTGGCCCCCGCCCCCACCCTGTGTTGAACCCCCACCTCCGAGCCCAGGTAGAGAAACATTTCTCCCTCGTGCCAAGCGAGCATGAGTCAGCGAAACCCCGGGGAGAATGTGGACACCAATAAAAGTGCCAATCAAGTGGTGGCGAGTGGAGGGGGAGGGTGGGGGCAGAGGGGGGGGCGGGGGTTGTGTGGTCGAAAGTGAAAGTTTTGTATTTAAAGACTCCATAGACACTTGAGCATAGATAAAAGTCCTCCGTATAACCTTTTAAAGACTGCCAGGGGCAAGTGCTGTTCACGAGTAGCGCATATGAAGGCCGGTACGGCGCATGTGGAGGTGCGTGAGTAGCCAGAACTACGCCCGATGGACAGGCGTGGTGAAGTATGGTCACGAACCTCCTCTCATAACCGCTAACCACTGCACCACCGCTCCCCACACAGGGTAACAATATCCCCCATATAGCCTGGACGGACTGTAAGGGGCTAGTGCTGTGAGCGAGCATCTATGAAGGCCATCACGGCACACGATGGGGGGGGGGGGGTTGTCTAGGAACTGATGTAAGGTTGAGTCGACGTACGGGGGAGGCTCCATGACTGGATAAGATATTTGCTTTCACTGTTATTGGTCGTGAACACGTCTGGAACGCGGGTGGCCAGGTTCGTAGAGCGCAGTGCGCTAACAACTACACTACCACTCCCCACCATCAAGACACACCAATACCAATATCCGCCATTCACCACTAAGTGATGGTGGCATCGCTACGGCGCCTGTGCAAGGCCAGATGCACTTTGAAACCACGTGAAGTGTCGAAGGCTCGCTGACAGGTATCGGGACAGACCCTGGTACCATGGGTTGGCTGACTGAGATGACTGGTAGATGCACCAGCTGTACCCTCTACTGTGCTAACTTGCTGGATTTTAGCCACCCGCCACCTCCGCTCATTGTTGTGAGCGTCGCTCCTCCGCCCTCCGTTGTTGCTGGAGGGCGACTGCCTCCAACTGCCCAGTAGCGTCCTTCACGAGGCTCCTCCATAGAGGCCGATCTTGACAACGCTGGTACCAGTCGTTGGCAAGAACCACTCAGCTCCACATCCTCCCGTACCGCATCAGTCCATCTCTTTTCCAGCCCATGTCGTGCCCGTTTAGCCCCCTCTATGCGGCCAAACAGAAGCTCCTTGGGCAGGCAGTGGCTGGAAATGCAGGCTACATGACCCAGCCAACGCAGCCTTGCCTGCCAGAGGAGGTCACTGATGGGAATGTGTCTAGATCTTTCAAGGATTTGTGAGCTCCTCACACAATCCAGCCTGATTAAACCCAGGGTGGATCGTAGGCATGCCAACCTGAATGTTTCTAACTGGCACCGATGTCCCATTAGAGGGGTCACGTTTCGCAAGCGTAGAGAAGGGAGGGCATGGCTGTGGCTGAGAAGACCCGAAGCTTCGTGCGGAGCGACAGACCAGGTAGCTTCCACACACCATTGTACAGCCGATGAAAAGAAAATGCCGCCCGACTGATTCGGAGTGAGACCTCTAATGTCAAACCAGAGCTGGTCATAAGCACACTGCCCAGGTATGAAAAACTCTAAATTCTCTCCACAACTGCTCCATCACTAATGGGGAGCTGAGAGGGTGGAGTGTTTGGTGGCACAAAATATCGTAATTACAAGCCCATGGGCTGCACGAAGTCTAGCAACCTCCTTCCGTTATTATTGAGCTGATCTGGCCCATGCCTTCCAATCACTCCAACCCAGGTGTCAGCGTCATGACCCACTCGGGCATTAAAGTCACCTAACAGGATGACTATCCCGAGGGGCCACTTTAGCTTGCACCTGGGAGAGGAGGTTATAGAAGGCATCTGACTCATCGACCTTGTCAGCATCCCTCCATCGATTGGGCCGGAGGATGACATCATGGCCAAAAGGGACGATATTCCGATTCACGAAACCAGTGATGGGAATGCCAGTTGGAGTAGAAAGAAGAGTTTTCGGGAAGGACACCTGCCGTGGAGACAGAGCGAGGAATTTGAACTCTGGTCAAACTCGATGACTAGCGGCTTTTGGCTGCTAGTCATCAAGACTGTCAAGACTGTCATCGCGTCGCGCACTTTTGAATGTGCTTCTGCGGCCATCTGGAACACTCTTCTTTCCGATATTAGGGAGGCACTGGAGCTATGCACGTTTTAAACTAGACTGAAAGCCCTTTTCTTTAGAAACTATTTTTTGCGTTTAGTTTATTGTCCTTTCCCCACACGTCCGATTAGCACAGTTGGTTAAGTACTGTGCGGAAGAAGTTCAACATATGTACATGGTTATGTTTAGATCTATTTCCCAACAATTATTTTCATGTGTTCAGCGAAACTTTTTGTACAATATTTTATGTTGTGTTAATGTTCTCAAATTCATCCTGAGCCCCGCGTTGCAGCCTTCTCTGTGATGTTCTGTAATCGTTGCCTGCAGTTCATTACCAATTGTCATCACAATCACTGTGGACGCCAGCAAACTGAGATGCTTAAACCTCTATTCATACGTGTTAAATTAAAGCGAAAACATTTTTAATCCTTTATATTAAGTTCGCTTGCTTGCTTGCGTGCTTGCGTGCTTGCTTACGACCGTGCAAATCTTTCGGTCGTTTTTTAACCCACTTCCCGTGATCCAATCGAGCTGACATTTTGCACACAGACTCGTTGTGCGAGACAATTAATGTTCGTGAAAATTTTTTTCCAAAATTTTACACTGTTTAGGGAAAACAAATTAAATATTTAATTACCAATTGCTTAATACTGGCAGACAATCATCTGACCCATAGGTGGCAGCCATCTCAAGCCAGAGGACGAGAGGACTCTAGCCGCCACGCATATACAGGATTTATAGTGAAAAACTTTGTTTTTACGGGTTATACTTGCTATTTTACCATGTAAGGCCCACTGAGTGAAATATCTCTTTATCAGAAGTGACTTAGCCACAAATGATAGCTCAATGAAGTGGCTTGTCACATGGAAATGTATAGCAGCCAAAAACTCGTTGATTTTAAATGTGGAGGGAAAAACCAGAGGACCTAGAGAAATGTCCACGCGACCACGGCCTTGATTATTGTAATCTTAATGATAATAATGACGATTCTACTACTGATGCTGTTGTTGCTGCTGATGTGACAATGATGTTGCTCATATTGATGATGATGCTGCTTTTGCTGATAACGATTGTCTCAACTCTGAGCATTGCGTGCGCGTGCAGACACTCCTACTTCAAGCTGCTGCTGTTGCTGATGCTGATGATGATGTTGCTGCTGCTGCTGATGATGTTGTTAATGACGATGCCCTCTCACCTTGGGGGGCAGGCTGCCCGTGCCCACGCTCAGCTCGTCTGGGGGCAGCGCCTCCCCCGTCTCCCCGTCCACGGCTCCCTGCTCCCCTCCCTCTTCCCCCTCCTCCCCCTCTCTCTTCTCACTGCGGGGCCCAGGGCAGTGGCAGGCGCAGGGGCACGGCCCGAGGCAGTCGAAGGGGCAGGGCCCACCGGGGCACGGACCGCCGGTGACAGCCCGCAGCGCTGCGGCCCCCCCCACGATGGGAGGAGGGCGCTTGCGAAGCGGAAGGGTGGCGCGGGGTTTGGGGCCCCCGTGAAACAGGTCTCGGTTCGCGCCCAAGTCCTCGTCTTGCCTCCACAGCACATCCGTCAGCAGCTCCATCGCCTGCGAGGCACACCCCCCCCCCCCACACACACCATCATCGCCAACAGCAGCAGTGGTAGTATCATCAGCAGGAGGAGCAGCAGCAGTAGGAGCAGCAGTAGCAGCAGCAGTAATAGCATCATCATCATCATAAGGTTACACACAAAGTGCTTGCCATACAAGAACCACAATACCTTGCCGATCTCGTCAAGGAGCGTAACCATCATGCAAGCTCCGGTCACACTCGCAGCAGCGGATTTTGGCTAACCATCAAACGAAGACGTTTACCACATGATGCGCTCTGCGGCCGTCTGGAACGCTCTGCTGACACGAGGAAGCCACTGGAGCTATGCACTTTTAAATCGTCGAGATTGAAACTGCTTTTTGTGCTTCGTCTGTTGTCCTTCCCCGCACCTCCGATGACCACGGTTGGCTATGTACGCTACGAAAGAAGTTCAACATATGATAATTGGTTCTTTACCCTTCTATCTGGCAACAAAACTGACACCTTTTTACAAGGAGTCATGTTTGCATAGACCGCAATACCTGCAGTCATAAATACAAACAAAAGACATAACTCTGACAGTGCACATTATCAGAGTTATGTCTTTTGTTTGTATTTATGACTGCAGGTATTGCGGTCTATGCAAACATGACTCCTTGTAAAAAGGTGTCAGTTTTGTTGCCAGATAGAAGGGTAAAGAACCAATTATCATATTTTTACTGGCAAATGAGGTCCCCATAGTGTAGAAGTTCAACATAGAGCAGCAGTCAGAGTAGCATCAGCCGCAGCAGTAGTAGTAGTAGCATCAGCGGCAGTACCATCATCAGCAGTTGTAGTAGCAT